AATACACCGTGTTTGGGAACGGAACGGAAGTGTGAGAGGATGTCAGAAACAACCGGCGTTCTTGTGTTTAAAGCAGAATTTTGGAACTGGAGAGTTTTTTCCCACACAAAGTGGGTGCTTTGCTCCCTGGCTCATTCATGTTTAAGAATGTTGTAACTTGACAACCTTGGTGTTCTTTGAAATAAACGTTTTGGAAGGAGACTGTGTTTTGGGTTGGCAAACCTGCATTTTGGAGTTTTGATGTGAGTCTGTTGCAAGCGTGCTCCTTTCCTGTTCAGTAGGAAGCATCCTGTCATTGTCCTTGAAGACGTGTCATGGTAGGGGCATGTTACTTGTTCTCACTGGGAGTTACAAGGCTGGAAGGCATCAGTTTCCTTTTAATTTTCACGAAACAATATACTTGTGGAGAATCTTGCCTTGGGCACAGGGCTGCATGCTCTAAAATACACTTTTCTGTGCTCACCATATCTATTTAAATTGACCTTCCTGGATAGCTGCTGTCAATTCGAGGTTCCTTATTTTTTGGTGCATTTTAAACACCACTATGTTTCTCCATTGTTTATGAACTTTTTTCAGGCTTCTTGTTTTGTTTGCTTTTAAAAATAAATATGCCTAAAACCAATTTTAACTTAATTAATAGTTATCCTTTGCACTCAGGTAGGTTGCTTGGCTTTGTTTTTAGGGACAGACTGATGTTTGCTGTTGGGAAAATGTAAATCTCACCCACAGCATAATGGAGGCTCTGGAAATACTTCTAATAGTCCTGTTGTGTTGTGAGATATTGGTTTGGTTACGTTAAAGCGTGGTTTGTTCTCAATTCTCCTATCTCTTCTGGGGAAGGTGAGAGTACTGAGGGGTGGTTCATTCATATGTTCTGTCCATAGGTTGTGGTGAAAAACTTATTTCAGTTCAAGCACTGATACTGACTGTAAAAACAATATATTTTTTAGTGCTCTTCACTTACCTCTTGGGTCTCAGCAAAAGCAAGGAGCTTTGATGAAAGGCTTGTACTACCTCTGCTGGCAGTGCCCAGCTGAATCCTTTCCCATTTTGGGGGATACTGCAGTACACCCTAAGTGTCTACTTCCCAACTGCATTTCTGATCATACTTTGGCTGTCTGCATTTGTGTCCATATTCCTTGTGGCTTGTTTGTTCTTACACATTTCTTCCTTCTCTTGCAAGTTGTACAGGGTTGACATCATGCAGTTCAACCAAAACAGGGGAAGTGCAGCCAGTATCTCCCATGGGAACAAATTTTGCCTTTAATGCAGTTCCAACATGTTTTTCTCAGGAAATTTAAATGAGATGTCTTATTCATACGAAGTCAGTGTTACACGATTCTCTTCCAGTTCTAATTGTCCTGGATGAAGGCAGGAGCAGTAAGTTTATGTCTAAGTTTAATATTTTGCTATATAACAGTACTGAACATTAGAAATTTTTGCAAATGTAATGTGGGTTGTATTGGATAGCAAGCAGAAGAACAGATTTGAAATTCCTGTGGAGGATATATGATGCTCAAGTTGAAAGCACAGAAACCACATAAAGATGCTTTGCAAAAGGAACACACAGGAAGCGGGACAGACAGAAACTTTTTTTTTCTTGTCTCATTCCCAACAGAGAACCAGAGCAGGAGCTTCTACTTTAACACCTGCTCTACTTCCTCCTTCGGTAACAATCATGGTTATTTTTGCAACTCTTTGTGGTTGGTATTTTTTTTTCCTTTCTCTGGATTTGCAAAATTAATGAATTAACTGGTGCCACCTTGAAACAGCTTTCTTTCCTTGGTGCATGTTGTGCTGTACTCTCCAACATGCCCAGAACAGATTTACAGGTGGTTTGTTTGGGGTTTATTTAATTGTCTTCTTTAATTGCAAGAGTAGATGATTATTTGTCAATTGAGGGACCATAGTACAAGATTTACTAAATAGTTTGCAGAGAAATATATGTAGAGACAAAGATGATTAATAAATAATGCGATATGAAACAAATATGAGTAATCGAGATGGGAACAGAGTTTAGCAGTGCTCTTGCCTCCTATCCCATAAAGGTGAGCTCACGCTCTCTCCCTTGCCCTGCATTTCCTGCCCCTTCGCTTGTGGCAGTGCAAAAGTGTGTCTGTCTGTCTGTCTGTTTGCAAGGCAAGAGGACTGGGGAAGAGATCTGCATGTAAACTTGCTTCATTTGCCCTGCCTCCAAAGATAAAACGAACGGGGAGCAACGCTCCATGGAGCTGCCCAAGAGCTTGTGCAGGTGCTGGGCACAGGGCTGTCAGGAGAGGGAAGCTAAAATTGCTTCCTTTGGTGTAAGCTTAAAATGTTTGTGCTTACTGCAGTGGAAACCCTTACAGAGGAGCCTAAGGACATCATTATTACAGTGTAATTAAATCCTATTAGTTTTATTATGTAGTATACTTTAAAGCCTTAAGAAATACTTGCGTAGTATTTCAGAATGTAACAAAAATATCCTTATTTAACAGCGAATGCAAGTAATTCAAGATTTAATATTAAGAGGAAAACTGCAAATATTCTTGAAAAATCTTGTAACTTTGCAGAGGCTTATTTATATATATATATGTGAGACAGTAATATACGGAGGATGTGATTTGTTTGTCTAAAGGTTACAATCTTTAACTGTTCTTCTGTTACCTGCTATGGTTTGGTATTGATTACAGATTCCCTTACTGACACGGTGATTTCATGCAGTGTATGTGGCAGGACCAGCTCTGGCCCTTTCCATTCCACATCTTGTTTCCCAGTGTATGGCTGCTTTTTATTTTTCTCATTCGTTCCTCCTCAGTCTGTTCAAGGATAACTTGCCTCTCTCCCCAAACTACTGCGTCTGGCTTGGGAGTTAATTCCATCAGTGTGATCTGCTTTTTTCACCGGGACTTTCTTGTTATAACGTCCCAGTTAGTGGGGTTTTCTTGTCTCTTTTTTCATGTGTCTTTTGAGAAAGGAATATAAATAAGCACCTCAGCACAACTGTTGGGTTTTTCTCAGTTATTCTCCTTATTCCTATTTAACTTTATTTTGTTAACAAATCCCTTGGTTAATCATTTTACAACCTCCTTAAGCAGCTCTTTCTTAGGACTAGGTTTTTGCCATCCCAGGGTCCTGAGACAAATCCTAACTATTCCAGCCACCCCACTTGTGTGAACATATTATTTAATTCAACTCTGACTTCAGCCAGCTAGGAATTTGGATCCCTCTCTTTCCCGCAAACTGCATTTTATGACTTCCAGAAGCACAAACATAAAAAAAGCTGTCAATCCCAGAGAAGTTCTTGGCAAGAAGACCTACTTAAAGCATAAGGAACCAGGACTATTGACTAGCTACTGGTGATAATGGGAAAACAAAGAGAAATAAGGTGGGGTTGTCAAAAAATGGATATTCATGAGATAACTTCATATGCCTTTTCTCCTAGGACAATACTACTAATGTAGTATAAAAAATGTGAACAATTTATTATGGTATAGATTTATATAGTCCTTTGAGTTTTCTTTTTGATGGTAATCTACTTTATTTCCTTGCATATAAATCTGGATTTAAATAGAACATTTCAATCTGTCTGACTTTAGAGGTTCATTTTTCTGTGCAGAAGAGTTTAAGCTGGTTGTAAATTATGCGAGTAGATAATTTATGTTGAAAAGGGGGAAATTATGTATTTTAGAGGTAACCTACTGGAGACTGTGTCTATTATTATTTATGATAGTTAAAGTAGAGCAAAAGTTCTGAGATTTTGAGTTATGTTTTATAATCTTTGTCCAGAAAATATTAGGATTCTCAAATTTGGTGATTCTCTACTTATGCTAGAGAACGTCTATTATCTTCTGCAGGGTGATGTGTTACCTTTCTTTTATTGTTGAGGTGTTTGGCACAAAATTCTCCATGAAACAATTGCACTTGTGTGATGTTCCTATGCCAGTTCACTGGCATCTGCTTTTCCTTGTATCTTTTATGATACTTCAGTATTCTTCATTGCCTGGGGAAGAGGATCATGTATTCTGCCTGGGCTAAATTTACATATAGTGTCATCCAGGATTTATCCCAATAACTTGTTATCCAGTTGTTATCCCAATAACTTGAGTAAAAGCACTTCTCTTCCAGAAGTTTGATTTTGATTTTACAGCTCTTTTAAGTTAGTTGTGGCAAACTACTTGACAACATTAATGGGAAAAAAACAAAGTAATTTTCTTTAAATAAATAAACTCAGTTAATGGTAGAATACTAGTGGACGTTGCATACTAAAATATTGCATTTTGTTGTCACTGTTGCTTAAACTTACTGGATATTAAGATTATTTATTGAGCGGTACCATTATGTGATTCATTTACTTCATATGTAGGTTGAGTAAAGTTTGCTGGTACGGGTGGTGATTTTAGCATAATGAAGTTAAGCTAATCGCAATGTCAAGTACTGGGAGGTATAGCTTTTGTGTTACAAAATACACCTCTTTGTAAACAGCAGCAAGAGTGACATAACTATACTGTAGTGACACAGCTATAGTTACGAAACAGCTTGAACAAAAGAAATCTCTACTACTTAGTTCTTTTTTGGGGCAATAACTTGATAGATAGCTAGTCATCACTGGAAGGTGTTTTTTTTAAATTCCAGTTGTTACCAAACTATGCGCATGGAAGCTTGTGGGAGGAAGTGTGGTATAAGAATTTGGATTCTTCCTGGTATAGTTACTGGAATTCTTTACAAAACTGTAATCTGCATTAATGGATGTAATTTGTTAGTTTATCTAGCTCTGGGTTCTCTAATTCAGAACAGAAAATCAGCTTAGCCAGAGAATAGCCAGTGAACGTTGATCACAGTAGTTTGGGCAAGTTCTGTAGTTACAGCAATAAGCTGATGTGAAACTGGATGGGTATAGTCAGATATCTTCTGAAAGCAACTGAGATGCTTGCAACATGAGGCAGAGCAGCTGTCAAAAATGTTCTTGTGCAAATGTGGTTATCTTTATTTTTGGACTAACCAGCATTTTGTCTTCACAGCAGCTATACTTCTGAATGGAAGTGGCTTGCAGACAGAGCTAGAATTGGCAGCCGTTGGACGTGGCTTCAAGCCCAGATTTCAGAACTAGAATACAAAATCCAACAACTAACTGACCTTCACAGGCAGATACGTGCCACCAAGGTATTGTCCATAAGCTCATAAATGGGCCTTTCAAATAATCTTTTGACAGTGTTTATTATAATATTTATGTATTGGATTTCTTGTTGTTGTTGCTATTTGTTTTCACCCTAGAGTTCTTGTGTCCACATGGGCTATTGCATGTAAAGGTCAATGAGAAAGACATCAGGAACTAAAAATCATTGTACTATAGAGACATCAGTACAGGACTTGGAGTTGGGAACTCTTACCTTCTTATCTGTGATAGTGACTTTGTTAGCGACTTTTAGGGGCCCAGCATTTGTCACGTTACTTTTTCCCTCTGTAGAAGAGGAAAGATTTGGTTTTCAGGTGAGGGTTGTCAGTTATTCATTTTTGTGTGGTGGGTTTTCAGGGTGGGGATTTTTTTGTTATTTACAGTGCATGTTTATTCTGAGGATTAGCTAGTTAATGTTTGTACAGCTCTTTGAACAGGTCGAGGATTAATTATTACTAAAATTCCAACGTGTGTAACTCATGTGCTAGTTTTTGTAAATTGAACTGGCTAGACAGAGGGAAAGTCGCATTCCTGAAACATTAATAATCTATCAATTTAATGGGTTCCCCGGGTCATTCTCATGTGCAAGAAGCCAAAACCTGTGATAATTCTGGTGGTGTGAAAGTGAGGGGTTTTAGAGGAGGGTTCTTTGACTCTCCATTGATGAGCCTTGCGAAGGTTGTGTGTTCTGTGCTGAGGTGAGGTAGGCACAGGTGGAAGGGAGCCAAAGGATGCTTTTGACTTTATGTGGCTGAACATGAGACTTGGAGGGAGTTTAAAAGGAGGGGGAAAACACCCCAGAGAGCATTCCTCTCTGATCACATAAAGAGAATATATTCTCTCTTTTCCTTTCACCCTCAGAGCACTTCTTTTCATGTCCAGCTTTGGCTCACCTGCTCACAGCTTTTCCCCAGTCAGTTTTTTCTTCAAAAATAATTGAAGAGCTTTGTTGGAGTATCTGTCCTACCTCTGTGCCCACAGAAGTGAAAGGAGATCCTGCATTTTTGGTGAAGGGTGAGAATGCTGCCCGTATTTTAGTGTTGTCATAGATAAGAGGTACATAAATAAGAGGTGCCATAGGTCTCATGAGTTGCAGAAGACAGAGAAATAAACAACAGAAAAATGAAAGAACATTCTTTTAGTCATGCATTTTCTTCGCATTAGGAGGTATGTTGGCTTGGAGCCTAGTCGTCCTCCTGGTGGAGATCTTCAGTGACATTCCTTTTTTGCAAACTTCATGCCCTTTTTACCAGCTGTATTTAGTATTCGACATTGTGTCTCATAGTGAAGGTAGACACATATTTTCTTCAGCTGTGATTTCTTTTGTGTACATGTTTGTAGTACACCAGTGCAGCAGCTATGGAAGGACAAGTGGGCTGATAGAAGAGCTCTTTGTTTTCGTGTAGTGCCTGCAAAGTAGTTACACAATATCATTAGAATTTGTATGCTGTTTCAGAGTGGTTTTAATCTGTTCTGAGTGGAAAAAAATGTGATTCATAGCCAGTGAGCAATAATTGCAAGCAAAATGCCACTCCTCTAACACCATAACGCACTAGGAAGGGAGATGGTTAACGTGGACAGTTTCCTGGCGTACTGAATTGTGTCTTCTCTATCTCTGCACACAGAAGTAGCAGCTCTAAATCTTTGAGAGTCCTTCCATTTTACTTTTTTTAAAAAAAGTATATTTGAAGCCCAAACAATTCCATTTGCAGGGAGGAGGAGAGAGTTCATTGCCAAAACCTATTGATTGTCACCCATTTAATGTGTAATTTCTATACAGTCAGTACTATTCTTCTTTCTTCCTCTTTTCTTCTGTGCGTGTTCCACCTCTCCCTTGTCATGCAGTGTGACAATTTTCTCCTTGCTTTGCTCTCCTCTTTCTGTAGTTGATCAACAGGATTCTGCAACTAAAAAAAATAAAATAGCAGTGGAAGCAGGGTTGTGTCCCCTTCTTTGCATGACCTTTCCTGTGCGTCTTCCTATTCCTCTGACTTCAGAATTTGTGTTTCAGACTTTTGTGAGTTGTTTTTGTTACTCTCTCTGTAGTCATGACCCATGATTCTTTTACTAAAAAGATCTAAAGATTCTAAGAGAGTCTAAAGCTGTTAAGCTAGCTTGTCCTCCTCCTGTGGCACGTAAAAGTTAGATCTATACTTGAATTTCCTTGAACGTACAGCCTACTTTGTAACTGCTGTTGGTCTACAGATTGTAGTATGAAACTGCCTGGATTCATTTCCATCTGCTGTAAATGGAAAAACACAGATAATGAACTACAATCTGACACGAAATGTGGAAAATCTAGTGTTGACTTAATGGAAATTCAGAATCTCTGTGTCCTTTTTGGGCACTAAAGCAAGTCTTTGAGGACCTACATTTGTTTTTAGAGAATATCATTATTCTCAGCTTTGAATTTATAACTAAAACACAGGAATAAGTTAGAGACACAGTGAAAACAGGACAATTTCATGTTTTCTCCTAGTTTCCCCTTTGAAGTCTCTCTGAGACTCACTTTCATGTTTTAGGGCAAGTAGAGTCAAGGTGTGAGTAAAACTACAGGACCCTTAATTTTCCACAGCCATGAACTAAGTGGAGTCTGTCTTGCTTGAAGAAATAGTACAGGGGTTCCTTGTGTTCACATGATGGCAATCTTCCCTGGTTTTAGTGGAATATTCTCACTAGAAAGAAAAATTTGAGGCAGTGTAATTGAATGGTCCCATTCTTTCAATATCTGCTTGATATTTGAGTAACAGTCAGGACTTAAAAGCAAGTAGGTTCTTTGCTTTTCTCTTGGAAAAAGCCTGCAGAGGTTTGTTAGCTTTTTCTGAGTATTAAATTTTATTTGCTCAAGATAATGACAAATTAAGGGACTATTTGAGGAACTGGTTTTGACTGTTAGAAAGGTATGTTTGCTTATTATTTTGTTTAACGTTTTAAGTTGTTAAAACAAAACAAGCTATTACCTAGGATTATATTTGACACTTTTATTTTTCTAATATGTCATATTGAAAACACAATGGGAATATTCTTTTCCTAGCTCCATTTATGAAACCCTGTTATTTCCCTACCATATGAAGTTATATTTATCTTATTAGGTGGCATTCTAGACAGTAGGCCACGTCTGATACCATAATTGTGCAGCTTGTCTTGAAAAGCAATTGCTAGAATATTTAGGACAGTTACTTCTGCAAATATGAAACTGTAAAAATGCTCACCTTAAAATTAGTTACTAAATTGTAAAAAACGCTTTTGTTTTGGACTGTATACATCTCAGCTGCATAAAAATTAACAACCTTCATGTTTTGCCTAGAACATGGATAGAAATAAGAAAAACAGAGGACTAAAATGCCTCCACAAAATGCATTGCCTGCAGAGGCTGTAACCAACTTCATATCGAAGGGTAGCTGTTTCTAACAGAAAAACCTCTTAAATCAGTGGTCAAATGATCATATAGTTGCTGTAATAAGTATGAATTTCTGATCTGAATTTTGGCACAGATGTTTGAGCAGTGGTATAACACTAGAGTAATTGCTGTTGTTAAGGAGTAGCATAAATGATGCAACTTTCCATTAATGAAAATACCGACTGTTTCTATATTTTAGCTATTAAGTGTATTTAAAATCTAGTTTGAGTGCCTCAGAGAGTTGCTGGGAGGATATAAGGGGGAGGTGTCAGGTTCGACTGCCCCTTAAAAATGATTTAGGAGGGTTAATCTGTTGTCAACCAACTGTGTTCAATTGCTGTTGTCTAGGGGATGGTGATCTTAGAAGAATTCCCATTTCCAAAAGACATTTTGAAGAAGCAAATACAATTGACAGACCAAGAAGCTTTATTAAACGCCACAGGGAATTCGCAAGCTGCCATTGAGAGACAGGATTCTTTGCCGGAGCATGACTTTGAAATGTCACCCAGCAGTCCTACCCTGCTTTTACGAAACATAGAAAAACAGGTAAAGTAAAATAAGAATTGAACGGTCGATGGGGCCAAATGATTTACCTGAGAAATAGGGCAGGTTCCATGGTGATGACTTCCAGAAAGGAAGATATTTTGCAGTCCCAAGAGTGGGTGCTGGTGAATTGAAGGGCTTGAATAACGACATTGTATGCCAGGTTTAAAAATTAACCTTTTATTTCTGACGTGTCCATGTTACCGCTTTGTTTCAAGCAAAGCGGCCACATAACAGCTCAGAGCTATCTGCAGACCTGCCTCCGTAGTGAGGTTCAATGTAGAGTTGCCACAGGTTGTGTCAGGAATTTCTTACATGAGATGAAAGAGCACAGCTGAAGGTGGAGGTATGTTGCACTTGAAACAACAAAAAAACCCCCCAAACAACAACCCCCCTACAGAATATAATTGTGGGTCTGCCTTTTCAAGCATCACAGGACTCCAGTTTGGAGCTGAGGAATTCCAGGTACTTAACAGGCACAGCGTAGGCATAGCTGTTGAGTGGGGTTTCGGTTCGTGGTGTTCAAAACAGTCCTTTCCAAGGTTAATTCCAGGAAATAACGATATGGACTCCAGCAGGGTTTTCTTTTGCTAGAAAGTACAGAAAGAATGTGATAGGATCACATTGCTGAAGGAGATACAGGAAATTTGTTTTCGGAATAAATTTATGTGGTTAGCGTAAAGCAAACCTGACAGAGCCAGTCTGGTGCCTTTATATGTTGCTCCGCTGCTGGACATAAATTCTTGGTCATATACATGTTTTTTAAATGGAGCGAAAATAGCTTTAGGTTCTAATCCCTATTCCTGAATCTCTGTGCCAATTTTTCATATTTGATAGTCATACTTTCCTGTTCTTAAAACACTCCCCCTGTTTGATAGATCTTATCCACAGCAGACAGGCACGAGGAAGCAATGAAACAGGAAATTTACATGCGCGGTGTTGGCAGTTGTACAAGGTAAACCAAAGAGCATCTTTAGAATGTGGTGAATGTCCCCTCTTTAAGTGATTACTTGAAGATCTAAATGTGCTTTTCAGTAAGACGTTTGTCAATTAAAGTAGTGGTAGTGTGTTCCCTGGTCCCTAAGTAGCTACAGAGGTCCAAGAACTTTAATGATTTGAGAAATGCCTTGGAAGTGAAGATGTTCTTCATTTAACGCATCTCACAGATTACGTCAAATTTCTTCCTTTTGCCCTACAAAAAGCTTTGAGGTTTGATTTGCTTTTTGACTATCAGTTCTGTAGCTCAACCTTTACCTCTGAAAGTTTCAGTTTCTTGTTCAGTGTCAGGAGTAGTGGTGCTGTAGGAGTGAAGTACACTCCTATGTTCAAGTATTTCTTGGTTAAAAATAAATAATGTTACTTGTGAACAAAAAAAAAGTCATAAAGAATACAAAGTGATCGACCTTGGCAATTTTTATTAATACTGTTTTCAAGCCTTTTTTTGTGGCTATGCAACATTTTAAAAACATACATGTTTTTCCTTGTGTTTTGGAAATCTGCCATTGTTTTGGTGCTTTTATATTCAGTAGAGACTTTTCTCCTTACAGATTGAATTCTGTTGAGATTTTTAAATCAATCTGCTAAATACTTTACTGACATCCTGTTTGTTTTGTCCAGACCTTTTGTATTGACTTGCTATTTCTGTGTTTTAATATCCATCCCTGAATATTTTATTCTGACACGAAATTTTTGCTCGACTGCATCATTTAGGAGCAAAGACATGAGTTGTAATAAAATGGAAAATAGTTCTTCTGCCTCTTTCTGCATAAATAGTAGTGCCTGAAAATGTAAAAAACCCTTAACCTTTAGCAATTCTTGTTTTAAACAGTCTTAGTTCTGAACAAAAACCCTACAAAATAATGTAAAAGTTTCAAAAAAGTATGCCATTTCAGATACATTTAATTTCTGTTTAGTGTGGCACACACAGTTTCCTCTAAGAAAGCTATGTTTATTGTTAGAATAGCCTTTCAGGTTTGACATTTAAAACAAAAAAATCATTGTGAAATGTTATCTGGAGTCAGTCCACAATTCATTGCTTTACAAGGAGTAATTCTTAGTCTTAGCAAATTAGCTGCATTTGTTTTGGGGCAGTTCTGAAAGTCCGGGTTTTGGTGGGGTGGGAGCTTCTTGTAGCTATTTTTGAGGATACCACAAGATTTTAGCCATTCCATCTGTAGTTAAAATAGTCCTCCTGTAGTTACGCTTCCTTTTATAAAAACACCTTTGTCAAACGGCACAGAGCAATGAAGAGGATTCTTTTAACAAGAAAAATACTTGGAGTGAACAAAATGTGCAATGAGTAGACAGCAGATGGTTTTGTTTTTTTTTTTGTTGAATGGCCAGTCAGCAGCTCTGGGCTGCAGCTGTTGTAACATCAGCTGTAAAGTGTCCTGGTTTCTTTTGCCTTTTTAAAAACCTTCGAATAAATTACTAAGATCACTAATGTGTTTTAGGTACTAACTCAAACGTATAAACAATGACCTTGGAGGGTTTTCAAGGTTGTGTTAGTTTTCTGTTGGATTGTGTTGGTGTTTCTTGTATAACTGTACGCAATAATTGTGAAAGAAAAAACATGCCACACTTGATTATTCACAAGAAGAAACTAAATATGATTATTCCATGATGTGTGCAACTGGAATCCTAAGTAGGAAAACAACAAAACCCCAGGACATTTGAGCTGTTGAGTCTGGATAAAAGTCTGACTACCTTTTATTTTTATTCTTTTTTTCAGAGTGCGCAACTGAGTGAAATCATCAGCAGCCTAATTGCTCCACTCAGTCTGTCCCCAGCTTCCTCATCTCGTTCATCCAAGACCTGTAGGCACAGACAGCTGGTCAATGGAATCTCCCTCAGGTTAGTGACTGTGTCGGAGCAATTTTTTTTGAGAATGGCTTATGGTAAAGTTATGGAGATGGAACTGATGACAGTAGTTAATCAAGAAAAGAGATCTGCTTTCTGCAAGCTTCAAGAGAAGTCAAGTCTTGCTTGTAAGGTTCAAAGTGGTAGGATTTTGTTTTGTTGATAAAGACATTAAAATATGCAGTCACTGTAAGTGCATTTAAGTACTGGGAAGGTGAATATACCTGCAAAGTAGTGAAAGAGTACAGTAAGTAACAAGCTACCCTTCATTATTTTAGATTTAATGCATTCTGTCATCATGAGTGCGACTTTATTTCTGAAAAAGTGGTGAACTAGACTTCGCTAGATTGATATATGGGCAATGTCACCTGTTCCTCAGCATGATGTTTCGAGTGGCAGTTTCATTAATTTTAAGCACATCAATCTTAAATGCAAGGTCAAATTTATCTTTGCCAACTACTTTTTCAGGAATTTGGGGATAATATTTTTCAACTTGTTGTCTTTTGTTCTGGATGGGTATACCTTCCAGCATGGCTGTACAACTTGAAATAAATATTATAGAACAATATTTCTCAGTACTACTCCGTACTTAGTAGTTCCAGCTTTTATTCCAAGATTTTAAAATACAGTACAGGCTGTAATCAGTATTAGTCTCGAAACAGATTTAAAGTAAATCACTACAGTCCTGTCTGGCAAAAGAATAAATATGTAGGATATTTCTTCTGAGGTACTGGGTATGTGGTTTTTGAGGATGGAGGGGTTATTCATGGGTCCTACTTAAGATTGGGTAGATGAAGAAAGTGTTCCGCGCTGGAGCTGGGGGGTTTATAGCAGTGTCTGCAGCAGAGCATAATTCCTTGGCTCCTGGCTCCAAGATGAGCTGGCCACGCCGTCTGTTTCGGCAACTTTGCCGCAGAAGCTGTAGGCCTCCCACAAAGAGATTATAATGAGCAGCTTGGATGGGCAGCTTCTTTAACTGCCGTCTGTTCCAAGGCGATTGTGTGACCGTGCCCTAAATTTGAGGATGAAGAGGTCCTGTCACGTAGCATTCATGCTCCTGACATATCAGTTGTTTACAGGTAATGTAGGGGAAAATCAGAAGATTCCTCTGAGTTGTGGAATAAAAATAGCTCTGAAATAGGAGTTGCCAATAGAGGAGGGAAGTGGAGAGTCAGCTTAGGCTGCTAGAAGGCCGTGTCTTGAATCTATCACTTTTTCACAGAACAGATGAGGAAAGATTCTTGCTTTTAAAAATGTTTTTAGGAGTATTTGAAGTTGAATTCATTATGGAGGACTCTAATGACTTCAATCCACTTTTGTTGTGATTTATTGGGCACTGTCCAAAATCAGTTGTCTTTTCATTTTAGGAGCAATGTAGTTCTTTGCTCATGGACTGTTCTCCCTAAAGCTAGTTGTTTTCTACTCACGACGTATAAAAGTGTTCCTGTGTGACCTGCTCTAGGTGGTCCTGCTTTGACAGGGGGCTTGGACTGGATGATCGTTTGAGATCCCTTCCAACCCCTAACAGTCTGTGATTGTGCGAAAAGCACAAAGAAGAATGGAAGGAGTTTGAAGAGTTCCTCAGCGCTGTAGGTCTAAACTGGAGTTGGTGAATTAGGTGCTGGAAGAGAATCTGAGAGATTCGAGAGCTTTCTAGATGTTATCTTAAAAATCAATTAAATAGTTAATTGTCTTGTGGAAGTGTTTTGAAATCCACAAATAAATACTGATCATTACAAATGGTAATTAAGCACAATATAGAGTGGTTACTGTGAGAATCCTGCTGGAAAATTCACAGCCTACTTCTGAGGCTTTTTGAGCGTGTTTCAGTTCTTTGTGGTATTTTGTTGTTGTAGTAGTTTTGTGTGCAGTTAATTGAGACGGTTACATACTGCAGTACATTTCTTGGCCGCTTCTCTCTTTCTAGAGTTTGACTGTATTAAGTACTTGAGAAAGTAGAAATCAAAATGAAATGTAAAGATTTTTTTTTGTTTGTTTCTGAAGTGGAAGAGAAGATTGTAGTGATTTTCACTTAAGTAGATTCTTGAAATGAGTTGCAGGCTCTTGATGTGAAAGGGAGAGTAGTCCATGTTTAAAGTAGGTCTAAGCATGAGATGCTTTGAAGTTGATAATCATGGGGTTGCAGTATGGTTGGTTACTTGGGCTATTCCCAGTGGAACTGGTGGTGCATGGACAGTTCCTGGTTGATTAAATGTGGGTAACCTTGAATTGCCATTTGTAAACATCTGATTTCATTGGTGGCTTCCTTTTCCTATGTTGCTTTTATTTGCTCAATTGAATCTAGATGCCAAGATTAGCCAGACACATTGTCTGAAGGTAAATATTCATAGAAGCAGTTCCCTAAGCTGGTGATAACCACTTTCTTATGAGGGGAGAGGAATGAAAACATCTAATCACTTCAGTACAAACGCTACCTGTCTGATGGCTTGCTGTGCATGTGTGTATCTGTGAGTAAGATCTCTGCTCTTTAGCCAGGCAACAGAACAGGAAAGGCCAAGCTGTGAGCTTTGAAAGGAGTGTATCAGCAAATTTATGACTTTTATACCTGGCAATGGCTCATTTCACTCCTCTGTAGAATCACATTTTGAAAATCACCCAGACTAAGATCAGAATAAATGGGTAGCTCAAACCTTGCCTGGGATGCCTATTTAGACAAGCGGCAGGAAAACTGTCCCACTGTGTACGAGAGCCCCAAGCCACCACGGAGCTGAGATCTGTGATTCATCTGAAAATGGAGCTGTGCATTACTGCAAGGCACGGGAGAGTAAATAAAGCAGCTGGCAGAGACTGAAGAGAGATTAGCTGGGCAGACCACCAGAACAAAGGCAGGAATCACAGAAGTTGAGGAGCCAGACTGAGATTTTTGTTCTAATTTACCTGTCCAAGTTGTTTTTCATGTAAGAGGAAGGTATGTGGAAGTCTAGGAGTTGGAAAACTGCAGAGAAAATGTTTTGGAGAATTCAGAGAAAGTATTTTAAGAAATATTTTGCATGGACTTTAAACATTGTATGTCTTTCCAAAGCCTTAAAAACATGACGCTATCTTGAAGAATGTCATGCTTCAGTATTTGGGGCTTTTTCTTGGCACTTACAAGTATGTTCCTTTAAATACTTTTTACCATTCTTCTTTTAATTAGCACTTTTTTTTCCATTGTGTCTGTATTGCTTACTGAGATTGCTCTGAAGTGCCAGAAGGACGGCTCAAATTCAAGCCCGTAGAGCCTTGTTACCACACCAGCACAACATGCTATGGTGTTTAATCACACTTTCATAACAAGCGCTTTTATTTAATAAAAATGTACTGTTAGAAGAATACTTCTTGTCAAAAAGGATTGATAAATGACCTTGGAATAAATTCATTTTCATGTTTTATTGTGTGTTAAAACTTTACTAATAAAGCTGTGACTTGCCAGATAAAGTTCATCAGAGAAAATAATCATTTATGCGGATAGATGACCTGTTATGAATGAAGGGCAAAATATATTGTATACTTGCACTTCTCAGACAGTTTAGAGTTGCAGTCAAGGTCTTCAGTATTGTAAAAATAAACGCACGCTTGAATGCTTTTTGCAGCAAGCCTTGAGCTTTGCAGGCAGATGTTGCTACAGCAACAAAATAAAATCAGGATACCTCTAAAATCGAAGTGCATTCTTCCCATTGAGTCATTCCCACCCAGATGGGAGGGTGTTTTCAATTCTTACCTTGCAGTGTTCCCTGTTATGGTCAGCAGACAGGCTGTAGATTGGCAAGTGATCCAGGGTTGTTACACATACATGTATGGGGTTTTCTGCTGCTCTTGGGGCCGCGCTGTTGCGTAGCTTTGGTGCTTGCATACAGTATCACTAAGGATGTGAGTACAGCAAGTGCGCGTGTAGGTGGGGTTGTGGAGGGATGATGCTGTAACACCGAGGGAGATTTGAAACGGATAGACTTTGGGAAATGCGGGTAAGAGTGAGATTTAATGTTAAAACAGATCTTCCCTTGTGTTCCTGTAGACCCTGTCACGCTGTGACTGGAGCTGAGCTTACATTTTTCCAAATCATCTGGATCTAAACAGCATCTGGGTCTTAAAATCGACAAACAAGCTAGGCTTTCCCTCCTCCTCCTCCTTGAGAGCAGTTTCCCCCAGGCTGGGCTTGGGCTCACTTGCAGAGCTCTGTTGGCACATCCCTGGAAGTGAGGTTCAGTAGCCTTGTGTTGGTTAAACTAAGTGTGTAGAGTTCCTTATTGTGATACAGGTGCTTACTGGTGAGTTGGAACCAGAATGCTGAATGGATACTGATCTGTAAAACTACTTAAGTTTCAGTTCTAGAGCAAAACTAGAAATGTATTAGGGCAGTACTCTGTGTCTCCTTTATGTTAGCATGACTGCTGACTTTAGTGGGAATGGAATGGAATGGAATTGTAATGTGAAACTCATGGGTGTTAGAAATGTTGAAAGGAGAGGTTTTGAATTTGGAAAAACCCAAAACCAATAAGGGCTTAACTTCATGTTGACGTTAGTTTATGTGAGCAGAAAGGTGAACAGGAAAGATAAACTTCCTTTTGTGACCTAACATAGAGTCAATCAACAAGCAAACAAAGCACATACATGGTTTTGTGAAACAGTGTACTAAAATATTCTAGTGTTTATAAAATTCTCTTAGAATGAGACAGTTAATGCTAATCAGTGTATGAAATCTTGTCCTGTGCATGTGGAGCGTATTTAACTTTTCGTATTTCCTCTCCCTGTAAATCATGCAATTGCAGAGCTTCAGACAACAGGGAGGTATCCTCTTCGAGCAGTTGGTTGCTTGATCATCAGCACATCAAGAAAAGAAGAAGAGACAGGACGAGACTGAGATCTCTCTCGGTGGCTCATGTGAGCACATCTGCCCGAACAAGGGCACTTCATAGTTTTCAGAAGAGGAAACTCTACAGAATGCACGGTTACTGGAATCGGCAGGTAGGCCCTCGCCTCTCTCTTCAGGAGACAAAACCAGAGTCCAGCTGCTGGAGCCTGCATGTGTCTTGTCTGGTATGTCCGAAGGACAGTGCCTGCTGTGCTGTTTATTTGTTGCATTCAGGGAGCATGTAGTATATGTGGCGGGAGTACTAGATGTGCCAGCAGGAGCTCAGAGTTAATGAGTTCAACGTAAAAATTAAGGATCTCTCAGAATCCTGCTAATCAGATCGGTGTGTTGCATGGCTATTTCTAAAGCCTTTGTGCAGTCTAAGGGAGAACTCCAGAGCTTCCTTGGAAGGCTTGACTGCTGAGGAAACAGTGTAAATCAGGTGCCTGCTTGTTTTGGGAATATTTGTTTTAGCTATAAGAAAGTTTACACAGCTGGTGGCACATTGTTTTCTAGGAAATTAAATTGCAATATCTTAATCTTGTTTCCGTTTTTGCTGTTCCTGATTAGTTATATTGCCTGTTTCATGATACTTTATGTATGCTTTCAAACTCTTAAAATTTTCCATCTTACAAAGGAATTAATATTTTAAAATGGGGAAAAAAATACATTGTCTGTTGTGCAAGGCAAGATGTATCTGTTCACGTCTGATATTAATAGCATATTGCTGGTAAGAATGTGTAATGAGTTTAGCTGTGGTGCTTAAAGCAACAGTCTAATTTGGGAGCTGAGATGGTATGAACTCATTTTTTAGAGCAGTGTTAATCTCAAGCGGTTTACATTTCTTGATTTTAGTTTGCCTTTTAAAAGTATGTTATATTGAGAGAAATCTCCCATGTCTCCTCGGCTGAGTGTCTAGGATTTGCTAAGTGTACTAATGGTCAGGGGAGAAATTTCCCCTGCAAGGATGTTTCATGTGAGTGTGCTGATTCAGCAACCTCTGCAAAATTGCAGAAGTGTCCTAGTTTTAGCAAAATATTTTATGGAAAAAACGTCTAGTTTCTTATTGGCTTGACTTCCCAGCTTCCTAGTAGTGGGGTTTAAAGACTTGGCAGCCTGCCTGGAGGGTTTGGTGGTGGGGGTTGGGGTGGAGGGTTAGAGATCGGGAGTTCTACCTCCTAGACGTTTAGGCTTTTCATCATTAACCAAGAAGAGTGTTGCTGACTTGGACGTCCCTGGTTTCCCAGTCCAATCCGTGTCCTCTTAAAGAGATTGCCTTTGATACATAAGTGCTTCTTGCAGTTGTGGAGATCTCTCCTCAGCAAGACTCCAGGACTTTCCCTTCCTTCTACTTAAACAAGAGGATTTCCACTCCAGATGCAACTTGTAAACAGCAGACTCTTCTGGAAGCCTGCATCCTGCAGGCTCGAGCATCTCGTATTTCTGCAAGCACTGCCTGTGTTTTGAAAACAGGGCCAGAGTTAGTGCAGTTCAGAGAATAACAGAAGAAACTTGTGAACAGAAACTTCATTCCTGCAGCCCAGCAGCAGGATTTCAGGGCAGAGTTTACGTTTTTGTTGTCAAGCAGCCATAGAGCTGGACTGCTTTGCATGCTTAAAAGTTTACCTTGACTTGTAAGCTAAAAAGATAAATTCCTAGTTTACCTTTGATTGTAGACTGCAATCAAAAAGTGCATTTTTAAGTTCCTGGTTAAGGCTTCGAATACTGGAGCTAGTGCAGCTTTGTGTCTGCTCCATGTCCTGGCATTTATAGTGCTGGGTTACCATATACTAACCCAACTTCAGTGTCTCTGTGCCAAAAATGCAGAAACGTCCCAAAGACAGTGTGGTAAAAACCCCTGTAGGAAATGGTCTTTATGCTTCCTTCAGCTCTTGGCTTCAAAACCTGTGTTTAGACTCTACTTTCTAAGATCCTCTCCACGGGTAATTGAACTGAGAGGCAATGTGGAGAACTGCATCATGGGCTGCAGACAGATTCTGCTCGTGTCTGTAGAGAAAATAAGGGGTGGTGGCAGCAATCAAGCTGTCAGCTTAAGACTTCATGCAAGTGCCAAACTCAATTAAAGTTTTCAAAATTAAGGTAAAGCAGTGAACAAAGCCTCTTACGCAGTGTTGGTTAAAAACAGTATCAGGGAAGAAGTAAGTGATAAAATTCGACTGGACATTTGCAGCACGTTCTGACAATCAGACCTAAATGGGTATCGAGTCTTTGAATTAAGAGCCATCATCAGTGTATTGTTTCATTCCAGAAATCTTATTCTAACAGGCCCTGTCTTTTTCTTAGTCCTGCACTTGCTACACTTGGTTACCCAGCTGTTGATGAGATTGCTTAGCTTGTAATGGAAGAGCACTGGCTATCAGCCCAGGCTGACTGCTAGATTAGGCAGATGTCTAAGGGTAAGGATGCAGAATGGGGAATGGCCTCTGGGATTGGTGCCTAGTTTTCTTTGAAAATGCATTTGTGTTCCCAATAGTAAACTAGCAAATTTCCTCTGGCCTTCCCCAGAAAAAAAGCGCTACTTCTTAACAGCATAGAAGATAGTTGAATTTTTAATGTACTGTTAGTGTGCCGTCTCTAGCAAGTGCTTCTCTCATATTTCTTCACTTTTTACATACTTACGTAGCCTCTAGCACCATGATCTGAGCACCCTCATTTCTTTAACGTCACTAGCCTGAGAGCTAGCTGGAGCTAGGGAAGACTTGCTGCCATCTCCCTGCAGCAGATGTGAAATGGACAGAGACCAGCTTGGCAAAGTCTGAGGAGAAGGTTGAGTCTTCTGAACATCGCAGCTTCTGCACCAGCTTCTTTACGGTGCCTGGCTCAAACAGCTGGCGAGTGAGCACCCGACAGTGTTGATGGGTGATGGTGCTCTGCAGAGTAACCTGGACAAGATGCTGACTAAAGAATTCTGACCAGAGAATCGCAGCAAAATGTGGAATTCCCATGTGTAGGAGATTAAGAAGTACAGGGAGACCTTTGAGGAATTCGGTATTTGGGGGATGACTGGTTGTGCATTTTGTACACTGAATGGCATTCAGAGTGTTGTCCTTCACATGTCTTCAGATTCATCTGAGAAGCTCTCCCCTCCCCCCTCAACATCCACGTTAGGAAAAGCAAAGTATGAAACCATGAACTGCTATCCCATCTGTCAGTTCGTAAGGTCACTGGGAAGACAGCCACATTTTTTCTCTTATCTACTGCCATGCCATATACATTTACAATGCTGTCAAAAGTTTCAGTATTTAGTGACCTAGTAGCCTCCCACTGCCTGCTGAGAGATGCCCTGTGTTGTCCTCTGCTTTGCCGTATTTCTTTTAAAAGAGGACTATACCTTCCCTTGCTCTGGTATTTAAATAATACTTTCATGGAGTAATATCTGAAACAAAACATAGAACTCTGTGAAACTTTGGAAGACCTGCCAGATCTACAAGATAGTTAGACTGCAGCGGAGATAAATAAAACAGGATGCAGGGTGTTTGGTTTATCTGTCATCATCCAGTACATTCAGGAACTTGAAACATCCTTTGGGGCCAAATCCTCGTCCCCTAATTCAGAATGACTAAGTACCACAGATGATCTGTGAGTCATCTTTTGGCCGTGGAATCAGTTTTGTATCTTTCTTCTTTCATTATCTAGATAGCCCGGTAAGAGCTTAGGCCATTTCTTGATGGTGAGTCAGTGCACAAGCCACTGAAATCCACATGCATCATAAACCCTGGGATTGCAATCTGTGCTTCAGTCCAGAGGATGTGATTTTAGTGATGCGTTTCTTAAGCATCACTTGCATGCAGATAGCACAAAGGAGTGAACTGCAGGCATGGTCTTGTAGGAGGACACATGCCTTGTTACAGCTAGCAAGGCAGACAACCTCTGGGTCATTGTCCCCTCCTATAAATTGCCTGTAATGTACCTTTAACACTAAGAAAGAAGGGCAAGAGTATCAAAACATTAAAACCAGAAAGTCTGGCAGTAGCAGATCAGTGTCAGGCCTTTAAGACAGGAGCACACATTGAATCATTTCCCAGTCCGTGTTGCTTCCCTCCCACCCAGGTTCTCCAAAGTCTAATGCCTGGGTGCTTGTGCAAATGCTTTTCCTATAGTGAGTACCTATAGTATCTCTTTTTGCCTAAACTTGAAGGAACTGAATTACCTGTGAGATATCAAAAGTTCTACTGAGTTTGTTTAAAAGCAGACAAGTGGTGTTACTGGTCAAGGAACTCTTGAGAGGTCTTTGCTTAGCTTACATACCCTGATGTTTAATTTTCCAGTATTTTAGCTCTGTGGCTGGATGCAGGTGGCTTTTTTTAGTAACAGGAAATTTGTTTTGACAGTGCATTTTGTTAGTTCTCATTTAACATCCTAACTAATGATGCGATTTCCGCTTTTTTTTTCAAGCTGTGCTTCACCAAGAGATGTCACTGAGGCTAGGTAGTGTTCTAATGTATGAAAAGTTTTTACAGTTATAAATAATGGCAAGAGGCAACAGAGCAGTGAGATCTGAGTACTATCAATTTTGGTTCCATACATTTCTTTGCAGCGTGGCAGAGCACAGGTGGTTTTCTTTAAATCTCACATTCTCATTGTATTTGTATCTCCACCTGCTGGAGGAAAAGTTGGCTGTGTGGGCTGAGGCAAACGGAGGAAACAGCAATTCAGATTTGCAAAGGTGTCAGCACCCTGAAAGTTGAAAATTGAGGGGCAAAAGCTTACATTTTAGATATGCCAAGCAAACAGTTGCCAGCTCTTGCAGTTGAGTATTGCCACATTTTTTCTCTTCAGTCTCAAATGGGAGTTAAGTGAGAGCAGAAGAATATCTACTTTTGTTTAGTGGTTAAAAAAAAAAAAAAGTAAGTGGTTCTCCAGAAGGCTCTGAAACAGACAGGAAAAAAAATATTTAAATTCCAGGGTTTGAGTTTCTTACTTTAATCTAGTTCTCATGACAGTTTTGTGATTTTTGCGTCCTGTTGCGTTCCCAGTGCATGTGCTTAGGGCCAATGATACTTTTTGTAGATGCCACTTGATAAATACATTTGGGTCTTTCACCAAGTCTTGTTAACGTTAATTTTTTAGGGAAGAATACATATACATACTT